TTGAGGAAAAAGATTTTACCTTTTTCTCAGATAGGCACCAATCTTATTCTAAAATTGACTTCTTTTTAGTTACTAATGATTTCTTTTCTAGGGTGAAGAATACCAAGATATTTCCTAGAATAATTTCAGATCATAGTCCTGTATGGTTGGAAATTTCGCTGGAAGAAGGGACTAGAGGGTCTTGGAGGTTGAACGAGAATTTATTTAGATATGAAGAGAATATACAGAGATGTAGAGGTTATTTAAAGGAATTTTTTGCTTGGAATATGAATAAGGGTACCTCGATGCCAATGGTATAGGATTCTAGTAAAGCATATATGAGAGGGATTTTGATTTCTATGAATAATGCTCATAGACGTAAACAGACTCAGAAACGTAAAGAGTTGGAAGATGAAATTAAATGTAAGGAAAAGATTTTAATATCAAACCCAATGGATAATAACTTAAAGGTTTCTATAACTCTGCTTAAGGAGCAATTTAATATGTTAATAGCGGATCAGATGACAACTAATTTGAGGTATATGAAACATAATACATTTTGTAATGCAAATAAACCTGGTAGATGGTTGGCCTATCAATTACGTAAGAAACAGAAATCGAGGACTATAGATAAAATAATTTATAAAGGTAAAGAAGTGTATCAACAAAATTTGATTAAAAAGACTTTTTTAGATTTTTATTCAAAGTTATATGCTAGTGAAACTATACAAATTTCAGATATAGAAAAATATTTACAGGAAGCACATTTTCCTAGACTTACGATTGACCAACGTGATGAGATTAATGGTTTAATTACTACTGAAGAGATTATTTCCGCAATTAAACAATTGAAGGTTGGCAAGACTCCAGGTACTGACGGACTAACAGCAATTTATTATAAGATGCTATCTGAAGAAATGATAGAACCATTAAAGGAACTTTTTAATCACATTTTGTCGGGAGCAGAACTACCTCCTTCTTGGAGAAGGGCCTTCATATCATTGATTCCAAAGGAAGACCAGGATCTGTCTCAACCTAGAAATTATAGGCTTATATCTCTTTTAAATACAGATTATAAGATTTTTGCAAAGATACTGGCAAATAGATTAATGCAGGTTTTGAAACAATTGATTCATACTGACCAATCTGGATTTATAATGGGAAGATATATGAAAAATAATGTAAGACAAATTGTTAATTTAATAGAATATTTGGATAAGAACAACCAAATCCCTGCTGCTTTAATATTTATAGATGCTGAGAAAGCTTTTGATCAATTAGACTGGAAATTTTTATTGAAAGTCGTAGAAATGAACTTTGGAGACAAATTTTTGTGTGCTCTCAAGGCCACATATCAGCAACAATCGGCACAAATTATAATTAATGGGGGATTAACAGATGTATTTAAAATAGAAAAAGGTATGAGACAAGGTTGTCCCTTATCCCCCTTGCTATTTGTATTAACAATGGAGATTTTACTTATTAAAATTTGAGATTCGTCTAGATTAAAAGGAATTAAAATGAGTAAGATTGATTATAGGCTGAGAGCTTTTGCTGATGATTTGGTTGTGACGTTATCCCATTCAACAGATTCGGTCAGAGATTTGGTTGAAATTTTAGCACAGTATGGACAGGTCTCTGGTTTTAAGGTGAATAAGAATAAAACTAAAATATTATTGAAAAATATGTCTATGAAGGAAAAAGATATTATAGTTGAAGCAACAGGTTATGAAATAGTTAACAAGGTTAAGTATCTAGGAATATATATTACAACATCTAATGGAAAATTGTATAAGAATAATTATGAACGTTTATGGGTAAAAGTACAAAAAGATTTAAATGATTGGCAAAAATTACAACTATCATTACTGGGGAGAATTTCAGTAGTAAAGATGAATGTTCTACCAAAGTTTCTTTTTTTGTTTCAGATGATACCTATTTTAAAAAAGGACGCTAATTTGGATGAGTGGCAGAAGGGTATCAATAAATTTATCTGGGGTGGGAAGAAATCAAGGGTAAAGTTTAAGATTTTACAAGACGCTCGAGAAAGAGGTGGACTTAAAGCACCTAATTTGAAATTATATTATGATGCGGCCATTTTAACTTTAGTAAGTGACTGGCTTAATTTAACAAATAAAAATATTCTTGCTCTTGAAAGTTGGGATTTATTATATGGTTGGCATGCATATTTAATTTTTGATAAGAAAGTAGATCGGGTTTTTAAATCACACATTTTAAGAAATGCTTTACTTCGAGTTTGGAAGAAGTATTATTATAAGTTAAATTATAAAATACCTATTTGGGGGATTCCTGGACAAGCAATTCAGGGGGTTTCTAAGGGGGTGAATTTTGATAATATTTCGTATAAAAAATTACTTATTTGGTCGGGTATTGATTGGCAACTAAAATCTTCAGATGTGCTAAGGCAAGAAAATATTTTACAATCATGGTTTCAATATTTGCAAATAGTGGAGAAGTGGACCTTAGATAAGAAAGTGGGAATTACTTTAGCAGATGAAAATTTGGTAATTCAGATTAAAGATCAGAAATATGCTCATATTAAAAGAATTTATAATGAGTTAATAAAATTGGATTCGGAAACAGAGTTAGTAAAAGATTGTATGATTAAATGGGCCCAGAATATTCAGGAACTGATTTTATTGGATTTATGGGAGGTAATTTGGATTAGAAATGTTAAATTTACGCAGGCTCAAAATTTGAGGGAAAATTTTTATAAAATGTTTTATAGATGGCATCTGGATCCTAAAAAGTTGTCTTGTATGTACCCGAACCCGCAACCTAAATGTTGGAGATGTGGTTGCTTGGATGCAACCTATTTTCATGTATGGTGGACTTGTAAAAATATTAAAGCCTTTTGGATTATGATTTGGTGGAACATTCAAAAGGTTTTTAAAAGGAAGATTAAGTTTACTCCCCAGTTATTTCTTTTGGGTATTTTTGTGGATTTTGATGCTAAAGAAACTATCTTAATGTTGAATTTAATAACAGCAGCGAGATTATTGGTGGGTCAATATTGGAAGAAGGACTCTCTGCCTTCTTTAGAAGAATGGGTATTTAAGGTTTCTAATTTAGCAGAAATGGCTAAAATTTCTGCTTATTTAAAAGACCATTCACAAGAGAGATATGTTATTGTATGGAGAAGATGGATAGAATATGTTCAGAAGAAATATGGAACTACAAAGTTTCATTTATTTTATGAGTAATGGATTTGTTTATAAAATTATGATGTTAAAGTTTCAAGAGAGTTAAGGGTTAGTATGATTTTGGTTATTGTATAATTAGTAAACTTAAATAGATTATGTTTAATATGTTTGTATAACCCTGTACTTGGCTCTGGGAAGTCGGGGGGGGGGAGGGGGACGGGGGGAGGGGGGGAGGGGGACGGGGGAGGATGGGTTGAAGGTTAAATAGCTCAGATAAGTAGAAATAGTTTTATTGTATATAATATTGATGTTTTAATTTGGAGAGAGGAATTGCTCGGACATTTCCCCTGGACTGCATCCGGAGTGAGAAGACAGGAGGAAGGGGAGAAGTAAGTAGGAAGTTGAGGAGAAGGAGGAGAGGGGGAGAGTGAGGAAGAAGAGGGAAAGAGGGAAGTGAGAGAAGAGGTTAGAGGGTGGATGCGGTTTGGGGGGAAATGGGTGAGCAATACCGAAAGTTGTGTGTATAAATTTATTTTACTCTTTATCTGAAGTATTTTTTATGAATGTAATGTAAAATTCAAAATAACATTTTTTTTTAAAAAAAGAGTAGCATTTGTCTTTTAAATGCAGATGGACTTCTGCATTCTGCATTAATTTTGGTTATTGGAAGCTGGTTATGAAGCATGCAAATGCTAATCATATGACCATGGGACACTGTAATTAATGGTCTTAAATGGTCTTACGAAGCACCCAAATGGTAATCAAGGGACTGTAAGATGCTGTGACAACCCTGGCAGCTTGAAGATGGATGTTGTCAGGAGCAAATAACCAGAAGCATTCATTGAGTTCAGAAGATTTTATTGTTGCTACCTGTACAGAAAAATGTAATCAATGAATGGTCAGTGCCAAATTGGTGCTAGATAAGGGTCAAGGGAATTCATGCAGGCTGGATTTGGATCACGTGTGGCAATGCAATGATTCAAAACTGCTGACACGGTTTACTCCACCTTCCAGCTCTGCCTGCCCTTCTTCTACAACTGTATTTCAACTCCCAGAATTCACCAGGCAAAAATTCTACCCATCTTTAAAACACCAAGGTTGAGAAACACTTAATGGTCTTTTGTTGATTAAGATTGAATGCAGCGGCTTTCTAATTTGTTTATGCATAACAGATGAGATATAGGAAAAAAAGATCTTTAATTAAAATGTTAAAGGAGGTGAATATTTTTAAAATTGTTTGTACTTGTCTTAATACAAGCAGGTCATTTTTTTATATATCTTTACTTTTTTAAAAAAACATTTTTCTCTTTCTTCCCCTTTTTTCCTTGACACTTTTTAATTTTTCAACTGTTATCTTTTTCTTAGTTTGTACAGTATTAGTTCTTTTAATCTTTGTATTTTTAAACTTTAATGTAAACATTTTAAAAAATATTGTTCTCATGAATGGTTTAATTTTAATGGGTTTTTAAAACACATTGCAGACGGCTGGACCTTCCCAAACTTGAGAACTTTGAGACCGTTGGACTTCAACTCCCAGAATTCCCCAGACATGTATCTCTGGCTGAGAAATTCTGGGAGTTAAAGTCCACTCGTTTCAAAGTTGCCAAGTTTGAGAATCATTTGGACCACTACATGATGCTGGGATACCTTCTCACTAGTAACTTCCCAACTATAAGACACATCTACTGAGAATCCCACCCCAGCCTAACCTCCTTTTAACATCCCCCTTCTCCCGCTACTCGCCTCGCACGTTTCTTCAAGACTAGAGAGGCGTTGCTCGCGCTTGCGCAGTTCCAGGGCCGCTCGCAGAGCTGTGTGTGTGTGTGTGTGTGACCAACCTCACGTAGCGCTCTCGCCGCTCCGTTCGCCGCCGCGTTCCGTGGAACGTCCCCGGAGGCTGGTTGGGCGGGGCCAATCGAGAGAAGCATTCCGAAAGGGGCCTGCTTGGGAGCGATCGGCGACAGACCGAGAAAGCGGCTCTTCTCCCAGGTAGGTGGCCGCGCTGGCGGGCTCTTTCTCCCCCGACTCCGCTTTTATTCCCGCTGGATCAAAGCGGCAGGCTCCATCTTCCGTTCGCTTCTTCCCAATAGGGCGAAAGCTCCTCGTCTGTTCCCTTTTGCTTCCCTGCTTGGGGCGGGGAGGGAGTCAAGTTAGATGCGGAACAAGCGCACGTCTGAATGCTGCCTCCGCTAGGAACTTCCCTCTGGGACGCTGACTCGAGCGCTAAGCCTCCCTGTCTTTTTTTCTGGAGCCTTGTCACGGAAGATCCCCCTGGTTGCTTAGCCCTCCTTTGCTCCGATGACCTCGGGCGCTTTCGCTTCTCTTTTCTTTGCAAAAGGCGCGCTGAGCTCCCTTAATGGGAAGTGCCGGGGATCTGGAGCACCTGGAGTTGATTGATGGATTGATTGGAAAGCCACCGTATCCTCTAGACCCCACAGATTTTGTTAGATTTGCTAGATACGTTTTGCTCCATGAACCCAAGGTTGAGCCAAGGCTGCAGCCGAGGAGCGTGCGAGCCCTCGAGCGATCATTGCCTGGGAATAACTCCCCGACGTGTCCACTCTTGTCAAGAGCAAGCAGAGATTTCTTTTCTCCCTTTATGCTCCGAAGGGCGAAGACATCTGTGGCTGACGTGGACGCGGACCCTTTATAGTTTATAGATTCCAACTGTGGTTCAGCCTTCCTTCGAAGGCGGCAATTTAGAGAGCTCTTCGCTGTTCCGAAAAATTTAACGATTAAGTGCCCCGCGGGAAGAAATCTGATTCTTCCTAGAGTCCTAGACTCTTCAAATCTAAAAAATTCACTGGGGAAGAGAGGTGGATTATCCCGTATTTAAGATTATTGGCATTGCCCTCATTTCAGAAAGGATGCAAGGCTGGGGGAAAGAAAAAAAAAACACTTTGAAAAAAAATCCTCTAGCTTAACTAGATCTCAAGGCTTTGCTTTTGAGGTTAGCCAGTGTAGTAATTTGATTCCTTTTAAAAAAAAAAGTTTAAATGCACCTTCTACAAAAGGCATTGGATTGGTATTTGCAGAAATTCTTAGTTCCTATGCTGAAATCTTTTCCCTGCAGAGTACTGAAAATAAATTTTCTTGCTAATGAGAATGAAGGGTGGAATAGGTGGGTAGAAGAGCTAATAAAAAAGAATAGTTTATATAGTAATTTAATCTTTTTATGTACTCTTTTAGACTTGGCTAAGAAAGAATTTTGAAGCCAAGTGTCCATTACAGGATGTGACTTGGAAGACGTGGCAGTAGCATTTTTTCATCAACCTTTTGCTCACATTAAAAACTTCTGGCCTTGTTACTATTTGCTTACTAAATATGAATAATATGCGCTTTCAGATCAGTGAAAAATCTACGCTTTCAAAAATGTGTAATTATGTAGCATTTGTTTTCTTAAATCAAGTCCCTTTGGGTAAATTTAGATAAATCCATTTAAAAATTTGATAAAATCATTTCTTAAAATTCTTTGTAGTATTTGATTTTCCTCCAAATGTTTCACAATAATTTTCTGAGGAAGTTGTATTGCCTCATACTTGAATGATACCAAACTAGGTAACTAAGTAATATTTTTGAGTTACTAAGTTCTGCCTGCTTTTTTCAAGAGGATAGAAAAATGATAGAGCTTTGTCCCATAAAAATTTGTACGGACACATTAACATTGGTTGATTTCTTCACAAATTCCATTAATTCTCAGATTGATTTGAACCTGAAATGGGCACATAACAGATATTTTTTCTTGTATAAAAGTATCTGAAGATGCTATGTAACTAAGTCATGCAGGACTCAATGTAATATTAGTGTTCTTTATCATCCTGATGATCATATTATCCAGAGTGTCCATAGGATTTGGTCAAAAGGTGGCTTTCCCATATGTTGGGACTTTCAACTCCCAAACTTCATTGCCATATGGATTGGTCATGTTTGGTGGCAATTTTGAGAACTGTAGGCTTAATGCAAGAGAGATAGTTTGGTGTAGTGGTTAAGGCATAAAGCTAGAAACCTGGAGACTGTAAGTTCTAATACTGTACTGCTTTGGGCACAAGACCCACTGGAAGGAGACAATAGTGAATCACTTCTGAAAAACCTTGCCAAGAAAACTACAGGGACTTGTCTAGGCAGTGTCCAAGAATTACACATGATTGAATGGAAAGGGAGGGGAGCCTTAATACATCTAAAAGGCAACAATATTGAGATGCTACAATTCACATTTATTTAGGCACTTCATATAAGTGGATTGCATTCTAAACCACTTTGTGTTCTATGTAAGAAAATGTTGAGATTATAAAAACCATTTCGGACTATAGAAGAAGAGCAATAAATACATTAGAACAGGGGTCTCTAATTCCTGGGCCATGGCCAAATACCAGGCCGTGGCCTGTTTGGAACTGGGCAGTGCAAGCCATGGGCGAGCGTGCAATGAGCATGAGGCACTTGCGCACACCCACTGCTTACACGGAACTATCCCCTCTTCCTTGCTCTGCTGCTGCTGCTATCCGTCCAGAAAGGTTGGGGACCGCTGCATTAGAATACTCTAGTTCAGTGGCTCCCAACCTTTTTTATACCGGCACCCCTAGAACACTTCTGATATATTCTCACACCCCTTACAAAAGTTTGAAATAACAGCAACAAATTATGCATATACACTACAATTTCGAAAACCCAAGTTTTTGCACCACCTGGAATATCATCTCACACCCCCAGGGGGTGCGAGTACCCTTGGTTGGGAACCCCTGCTCTAGTTAGATACTTATTGTCCATTCACACACTATTCTACTGGAAGAAATAAAAGCAGGCAAGTGGAGAAGACACCAATGTCTTTTCCAGCTAGACTGCTTCTCAGCCCTTTCAAATGTTTTGGGGGCCTTATTGGAACGCCTTGATGGTCAGCCATCTTTTGATGTGGTTTCATTTTGCCTTCATTAATTTTGTCCTTTTTTCATGTTTTCTAATGAATTCAAATCCATACAGCCAGGATGTTTATTCAGTGTAATAAAGAATCAGGATTTTTATTTATCAAATGGTTTGATTTAGCTGGAAGATGGAGGCAGAAATAAAGAGCCAACCCAAATGCCATATTACAAATAGCATTTGCTCCATCTAGAAAGGCTTAATGCATAATTGCAAAGTTATTTTGAAAAGGTAAAATCTCCTCTGACTCTAAATGGATTCCTGGCAATTTCATAGATAATATCCACATTATTTTGTTGGCGGTAATCCAGATATCGTTTGCCAATTTTTCCAGGATGTTTTTCAACTTCCCAGACTTGGTCCACATATCTAAAAGTCACCAAAGTTGAGAAACATTGATTTAAGATCTATTAAAATAAATAAGTTGTACTACAGCTAGTTCTCGGCTTACAACTGTTCGTTTAGTGACCAAAGTTACAACAGCACTGAAAAAAGTGACTTATGACTGTTTTTCACATGACTGTTGCAATACCCCATGGTCATGTGATCAGAATTCAGACGCTTGGCAACTGACATGTATTTATGACGATTGCAGAGTCGCAGAGTGATGCGATCACCTTTTGCGACCTTCTGATCAGCAAAGCCAATGGGGAAGCCAGAATCACTTAACAACTGCAGTGATTCACTTAACAAAAAAGGCAAAATGGGGCAAAACCCACTTAACAATTTTCTCACCTAGCCACAAAAAAATTGGGCTCAATTGTGATTGTAAGTCGAGAACTATCCTGTATTGCAAATACATACTGTACTTTCTTTGATATATAGGGATCTCAGAGTATGGACAATCATTTAAATATGAGCCAGTAGTGTGCTGCAGCTACGAAAAAAGCCAACACAGTGCTAGGCTGCATTAACAGAGGGATAGAATTAAGATCAAGTGAAGTATTAATACCACTTTACAATGCCTTGGTAAGGCCACACTTGGAATAATGCATCCAGTTTTGGTCACCACGATGTAAAAAAGATGTTGCGACTCTAGAAAGAGTACAAAAACAACAAAGATGATTAGGGGACTGGAGGCTAAAACATACAAGGAACGGTTGCTGGAATTGGATATGTCTAGTTTAATGAAGAGAAGGACGAGGGGGGACATGATAGCAGTGTTCCAATATCTCAGGGGCTGCTACAAAGAAGAGGGAGTCAAGCTATTTTCCAAAGTGCCTGAAGGCAGGACAAGAAGCAATGGATGGAAACTAATCAAGAAGAGAAGAAACCTAGAACTAAGGAGAAACTTCCTGACAGAACAATTAATCAGTGGAACAACCTGCCTCCAGAAGCAGTGAATGCTCCAACACTGGAAGTTTTTAAGAAGAGACTGGACAGCCATTTGTCCGAAATGGTATAGGGTTTCATGCCTGAGGAGGGGGTGGGACTTGATGACCTCCAAGGTCCCTTCCAACTTCTTCTTCTTCTTCTTCTTCTTCTTCTTCTTCTTCTTCTTCTTCTTCTTCTTCTTTCTTCTTCTTCTTCTTCTTCTTCTTCTTCTTCTTCTTCTTCTTCTTCTTCTTCTTCTTCTTCTTCTTCTTCTTCTTCTTCTTCTTCTTCTTCTTCTTCTTCTTCTTCTTCTTCTTCTTCTTCTTCTTCTTCTTCTTCTTCTTCTTCTTCTTCTTATTATTATTATTATTATTATTATTATTATTATTATTTATACAGATGGATTCTGTTTACAATATAACAAGGTTTGAGGTTGATGGGCTGGAGCCATAGATAAGTAGATGAGTATTTTCTATTCCATTAAAGTATCCTGCCCCTTCAATTACTCCTTGAAGTTATTTATCCCTAAGCATGGTTTGTTAAAATCACCAACTTCCAAATGCTTCAGGATTTTGTTCTACATAGAAAATACTATTAAGTATTAATACCGTTAAGATGGTTAGTAATGTTATATAAATCCAAGTGCTATTGCTACAGTAAATAAAATGAGTTGAGGTATAATTCCTGTGGTGGCATATTATTTTGCTATTGTAGCCTCCAGTCCATTCCGTAAAAATAATCCCAAACTGAGAACAATTTTTTTTTGATTTGCACTGTTTTCAGCATCCTATTATTTTTTCATGATGTATTAAAATTCTTATTTTTTTTTCAAATGTCAACATTTAGTTAATGCAAATTTATGAATTATATGTTTAAATGGCTATACATTGTTTTTCTGATTGATCCCTAATGCTTTCACACAGTTTGTCTCACCTAAACCTCAGTAAACGGAATCATGGATATTATACTTCTATTTCATGAATATAGGTATTCCAGAAGGAAAACCTCTTTTTTAACAGGACAACTTTCCCAGACTTTGCACAGTTAATAGCTGCATCATTTCTAAATTCCAGAGTAGAAAGACAAAAGTCAGAAATGCTTTTGTAAGAGCTTTGTTGAAAGAATGAAAAATGTCTGAAATAATGGGCTTATGATGAGAGAGGCAGCTAGAGAAAGAGAGGGAGCAATATTCAAACGAGAACTTTGAAGGCTGAAGTGGAGAAGGGTTCCATGTGAACAGCAGTTGAACATGGGTCAGTCGGTCCTGAGAGATAGGCGAGTGCCGTTCCGAAGGGACGGGCGATGGCCTCCGTTGCCCTCGGCCAATTGAAAGGGAGTCGGGTTCAGATCCCCGAATCCGGAGTGGTGGAGATGGGCGCCGTGAGGCGTCCAGTGCGGTAACGCAACCGATCCCGGAGAAGCCGGCGGGAGCCCCGGGGAGACTTCTCTTTTCTTTGTGAAGGGCAGGGCGCCCTGGAATGGGTTCGCCCCGAGAGGGGCCCGCGCCTTGGAAAGTGTCGCAGTTCCGGCGGCGTCCGGTGAGCTCTCGCTGGCCCTTGAAAATCTGGGGGAGAGGGTGTAAATCTCGCGCCGGGCTGTAAAGTGAACAGCCTCTGGCATGTTAGAACAAGGTAGGTAAGGGAAGTCGGCAAGTCGGATCCGTAACTTCGGGATAAGGTTTGGCTCTGAGGGCTGGGCCGGTCGGGCTGGGCCGCGAAGCGGGGCTGGGCGCGCGCCGCAGCTGAGAGAGGCGCCTGTGCTTCTCCGCCCCCCCGCCCCCTCCGGGGGGCTGGGAGGGGTTGGGGACACGGCGGCGATTCCGGAGGCGAGCTGGGCCCTTCCCGTGGATCGCCCCAGCTGCGGCGGGCGGTGGCCGTCCTGCCCCCCTCGTGGGGCCGGCGGCTGCTCATCGTCCCACCTTGGCCAGCGCCTAGCAGCTGACTTAGAACTGGCGCAGACCAGGGGAATCCGACTGTTTAATTAAAACAAAGCATCGCGAAGGCCCGCGGCTTAAATAAGACTTAAATGGCTCTGGAGATAAAACATTATTCTTCTGTAATGACCATGGTATGATTTGATAGGACTGCAGCTGGAATAACCATTAGTAGAAAAATGGCTTTTATAGAAAGTACACAATGTGAGAAAATAAGCAGGTCCTTACCCTGACTTCAAGGTCAAGTTTACAGTATTTGATAGATAGCTGATTACAAGGTTGATTACATTTTAATAGCATTATATCAGTTTTATTACAGAGGAATAACGAAATAAATTGAGTTGCTAACATGTATCTCCAGAAATGTTTAGCTGTAGCTTTCATAGATTCATCTGGTAACTTATTTACTGCATAATTCTGGACCAGGTAAATTACAGTGTTACGCAGAGGTAATAGGATGGCATATTTAGGAATTGATTTTTATCTTCGACTGTATTCTGGATTACAGAAATACAGCTTGAATTTGGATTTCAAAATACTTACTTTCACCCATGTGATTTATAGGTAGTGCTTGACTTACAACTGTTCATTTAGTGACCATTTAAAGGTAAAACAGCACTGAAAAAAAGTGACTTATAACCATTTTTCACACTTAACGATCATTGCAGCATCTCCATGGTCACGTGATCAAAATTTGGCTGCTTGGCAACTGGCATGTATTTATGATGGTTGCAGTGTCACAGGGTCATGTGATCACCTTTTGTGACCTTCTGACATGCAAAGTCAATGGGGATTCATCTAACAGGCATGGTTGCTAATTGTTGCTAAGGCCAGATTTACTTAACAATCAATTTAACAACTACTGTGATTCACTTAACAACTGGGGCAAAATTCACTTAACTGTCTTGCTTAGCAGCAATAATTTAGAGCTCGATGGTCATAAGTTGAGAACTTCTGTACTAATCTTAAACACCAAAGTATTCTGAAAAGAGCCTTTATATTCTCCTCTTTAATTGAAGGAGGAGCTAGAAGCCGTGCCAGTACAAATATTGAAATATTGCTCAGGACAAATATTGTGATATATGCATTTTGCAGAATGAAAATAAATCTACAGGGAAAATAGTTTGGATAATTGAGAAATGAACCTTTCTTTATAATTTCATTAAAAATTATATTTGTAGGTGTGTCAAGGCAAACCAGTAGTGAAAATGATGGTGGTCTCAAGAGAGTGGTGTCTTGTCGTCCTCTGGATTCTACTGCCTTCTTCTCATGCTCATACAGATTTCTTCACTTCAATTGGTAAGTGATGCTTTTAAGCACTTCTGATTGATTCAGGAATAACAGCACCAAAAGTGTAGTAAATTAATTGCTTGGATTATTAGTTATCCATCCACTATCTGCTGATCAGTCACAAAATTTAAGTGTTATAGAAAAATACCAATAATAAAATGCCATAGTTTAAGCTCTTAAGAAGCAGTCAAAATACATTTGTAAATACTATTACCAGTTTACATGAATTATGTTGGTTATATTTTAGTATTGCTTTTTCTTGGTAAAGGGAGAACTACCTAAGAATTATAACATCCATGTCCCAAAGATGCTTTCTCACAAGGCAACTGGACTTCCTTGGGTTTTTTTTTTTTTTTTGAAGATGCTTCTCATTCAAGAAACTTCTTGGATGAGAAGCAAAACATCTTCAAAGAAAAACAAAGTCCAATTGCCTTGTGAAAAAGCACCTTTGGGATAACTATGACCTGGATGACTGAGAATCTCCATAGACATAACACCTATGTGTTAAGATCAGTTGGTGGACTTCCGGTGGTCAGCATCGATGATGGTGGCTACATTGTAGCCGTCCTCCTGGGACGGCGTCAGAACCGCGGAGCACAGCGGATACCAGCTGTCCCGCGGCTCGAAATCCCCCTCCCGGGCGAAGGGAGGGGGTAGAGAAGTACACGAATAGAGGTAGAGCCTCTTAAACCCCCCAGGACTTTTCTTTTTGGGGGGTGAAAAGAGGCTCCCTCGGAGTTCGTATTGCCTCCGCCTCCCAGCTGTTTTTGTTTCTTCGGAAACAAAGTGAAACGCCGCTACCATCTCCGTGCCTATATTGATCGGGTGAGTGATTTTTAAAGCGGACAGAGCCGGATAAAGGATTTTACTTATTGAGTTTTATTTGCTTTTTAGTCTATGTTGATTTCTTTTTCTTTTGTTCTTTGTCGGTCTGGAGAGTGAAAGTAAAATGGCGATTTGAAAGTGCTTTTTTTTTTTCTTTTCGGAAAGAAGCGAGTTAAACGGAATGTAATGGACTATATAGTTCTTTCTCTTTTAAACTTTCTAAACCTTTTTGTGAAAGTGGTTTTGTGGTTTTAAAGTTTCTTTTGGACTCTCCTTTGTTCTTTTTTAATTTTTGAGGATTTTAGTATTTTTTTTTTAAGAAGGAAGAAAGAGGGAACAAGATCCTTTTAAAAAATGGCTTCAAAGAGGCAAGCAGTTTCTACAGTTCCTAAGGTGGCTTCTTCTCCTGCAATCTTACCAGTACAACAACCTAAAGCTACACCACCATCTTCTCCTCCTTTGCCAGTATTATCTGTACAAGACATGAAAGATATAATGGGAAATGCTGTATCCCAAATCAGAGAGGAAATGAAGGAGCTTCTAGATCAGAACAAATCTGAAATTAGAGGGGAAATGAAGGAGCTTTTAGATCAGAACAAAACTCAAATTAGAGGAGAAATGAAGAACCTTTTAGAGCAGAATAACACTATTTTGAGGCAAGATATAGTTACGGCTCTATCAGGATTGGCCTCTGTGGTTGAGAAGCTTGATTCTAGAGTGGAAGAGGTCGCAGACAAAGTTGATATCCTGGAAGATAAATTTGAAGGTATGGAAAAAAAGATGGAAATCTCACAAGATGATATTGCTATGTCTCAGTACAGGGAAATGGAATACGCCCTAAGAATCAGGGGTTTGAAAGAGGATATGAATCAAGATTTGATAGAGATTGTGGTTAATGACCTTGCCGTCATTTTGAATAGGGAGAAAGATGGATTACGTAGAGAAGTGGAAAAAATTTACAGAGTTAACTCCTGGGTCGCAAAACAGAAGAACTTACCAAGAGATGTGGTGATTTATTTTGCAAAGAGATCTCTGCGCAATGAAATCATACAAGCTTTTTATAATAAGAGGTTCCAGATCGCTGCTCAAGATGTTATCATTTTAAAGGAGATCCCATCTAAAATTTTAAGAAATAGAAAAGACTTTGTTTTTTTAGCTAATGAACTTAAAACAAGAATGATGCCATTCAGATGGGAGATTCCGATGGGTATTGTTTTGAGCCATGCGGGGACGCGTTATAGACTTAACACAGTTACTAAAGCAAAGGAGTTTTATACTTCGGTCCTGGGAGCAGGCTCATCGTCATCCATGATGCAGAAAGTTCTGGATGCTAAAGAGGCGGAACAGCAGTCTGAAGGATTAGGTGTGATGGTTGCTGGAAAGTTACAGACGGAATGGTTGCGACAAACAGAGATCAAAGAGCAAAGAATGACCCGTGCAGCACATAGACGCAAGGAAAAGGAACAACAAAAGAAAGAAGTTAAAGAATCTCTCCAAGAAAGTGCTTCGTTGCCGGTGGGAGGAGCAAGACCGAAGAGTTCTGCAACACATTCTTCAATGGCAGACCTTCAGGCAGTCTTCTCCAGGCTTCTGGTTAAGGGAGATGGTAAAGCTCCTGGCTTGGAATGCTAACGGCCTCAATTCCCCGCAAAAGAGAAAGAAAATCTTTCACTACTTAAAGCAACATAATAATGATATTATTTGTTTGCAGGAAACACATATTTTACTTAAAGATCAAAAATATTTAGTCAATTCTCGTTTGGGATCTCATTTTGTATCTTCTGCTCCGGGGAAAAAAGGGGGTGTAGTCATTTATGTTAAGCAAAACTTATCAGCCTGCTTGGTAGAATCTGATCCTCAAGGGAGATATGTTATGATTGAAGTTGGTTTATATGGTAAGAAAATACTTATAGTGGGACTGTATGCACCAAACCAACAACAGGAACAATTTTATACATTGTTGCATCAGAAATTAACTTTGTTGGATTATAGATCTGTGATATTAATGGGAGACTGGAATGGTGTGTTAGATATACAAAAAGACAAAAAAGGATCTTCCACTTTTTTTAAACAGGCTAAACTACCCAAAGCTTTTTTTGACTTGAAAGAGGACTGGGAGCTGCGAGATTACTGGCGTGAACGTAACCAGGAGGAGAGAGACTTTACTTTTTTTTCAGATAGACATCAATACTTTTCAAGAATTGACTTTTTTTTGATTACAACTGATTTATATGTTAGGGTAAAGAATGTAAAAATTTTTCCTAGGACGTTGATGGATCACAGTCCAGTTTGCATGGAGTTGGTTGATGAAAAAGAGGAGAGGAGATCGTGGAGGGTGAATGAGAATTTATTTAGACAAGAAAAGAATATTCAAAAATTAAAGGAACATCTAAAGGACTATTTTGTTTTAAATATGCATAAAGGAACTTCAATGTCAATGGTATGGGATGCAGGTAAAGCCTTCATGCGTGGGATTTTGATACAAATGAATAGTGCTCAGAGACAAAAGCAGATTCAGAAATGTAAGGATTTGGAAGACGAGATTAAACTAAAAGAAAAATCTCTGATTCTAAATCCCACAGATGAAAAGGTTAAAGAATCTATAAAATTGCTCAAAACACAATTTAATATGTTGATGGCTGATCAAACCGCAACTAACTTATTGTATATGAAACAAAATACATTTTGTAATGCCAACAAACCAGGGAGATGGTTGGCTTACCAATTGAGAAAGAAACAGAGACAGAGAATTATAGATAAAATAAATTATAATGGTAAATTGGTGTATCAGAAGGAGTTGATTAAGAAATCTTTTTTAGATTATTATCAAAAACTATATAAGAGTACTAATGTACAAACTTTAGATATAAATAATTATTTAAGTGAAGCCAACTTCCCCAAATTAACAGAAGATCAGAAACAAGAAATTAATGGTTTAATTACTAGTGAGGAAATTGTGACAGTGATTAAGGAATTAAAATTAGGTAAAGCACCGGGTACGGATGGCCTGACATCTATTTATTATAAAACTTTGCTAGAAGAGATGATTCAACCTTTATGTGAGCTTTTTAATAATATATTACAGGGTTTAGAGACTCCTCCGTCATGGGGCAGAGCCTTTATATCTTTAATTCCAAAAGAAGATCAAGATCTTACTTTACCAAAGAATTATAGACCTATATCTCTTTTAAATGTAGATTATAAGATTTTTGCAAAAATCTTAGCCAATAGGCTCATGAGGGTTTTGCACCAGCTTATACATAAGGACCAAACGGGTTTTATAACTGGTAGGTATATGAAGAATAACGTTAGACAAATTATTAACTTACTAGAATATTTAGATAAGAATAACCAAGTTTCTGCAGGACTGATATTTTTAGATGCTGAAAAAGCTTTTGACCAATTGAATTGGCAGTTTATGTTAAGATTAATCGAGGATATGAATTTTGGAGAAAAAATTTTACAAGCTCTTGGTGCTATATATCAAAAACAAACGGCACAACTTATAGTCAATGGGGGTTTGTCAGAGGTTTTTACAATAGAAAAAGGGACAAGACAGGGATGTCCATTGTCACCACTACTGTTTGTTTTAACTTTGGAAATTCTGCTGATTAAAATTCGAGAATCTCAGGAAATAAAAGGAATAGAAGTTAATAAAAAAGAATATAAACTAAGAGCTTTTGCAGATGACTTGGTGGTTACCTTGTCTCAACCTACCTATTCTGTGGTAGAGTTGTTACAATTGATTTACCAATATGGACAGGTTTCGGGATTTAAAATTAATAATAATAAGACTAAAATATTACCCAAAAATATGACTAATTTGGATAAGACTTTGGTTAACTTGACAGACTTTGGTTAACTTGACAGACTTTGAAGTTGTTGATAAGATAAAATATTTGGGGGTCACTTTATCTGTTTCTAATGTAAAATTGTATAAAAATAATTATGAAAGGTTGTGGGTCAGGGTACAAAGAGATTTGAAAAATTGGGAGAAGTTGCAATTATCCCTTATGGGAAGAATTGTGGTGATTAAAATGAATGTCCTGCCAAAGTTTCTCTTTTTATTTCAAATGATACCTATCTTAAAGAATGAGGTTAATTTAAATGAATGGCAGAAAGGTATCAATAAATTTATTTGGGCAGGGAAAAAACCAAGAGTAAAGCTTAAAATTATGCAAGAT